CCGGAGCTTCTCGCGCTTCTCGCGGCGCACACGTGCTGCTTTGACCATGTACTCGTCCCCTCAGGAGCCAACCGCGCCTGACAGGATTGTCTCGAGATGTGCGAAGCACACAGCACACAGCACACAAGCCTTCTCTGCATAAAGCGAGAGCAAGCTAGAGACTGCCGAAACTTGGAGGCCAACTGGAAAATGTCAGAAGAAGAAAAAAAAAGTGTTAAAAAGAAAAAAACTGAGAGGAAGACAATGAAGATGAAAAAAAAACAGACATAAAGGGCCAATAGGCGCCTTGGCGCCTCCGCACCGTGTCCCCATCGGCCGGGGCTGCCTCCGATGGCTCCGCCTGCGCAATGGCCCCACAAGCCGTGCGCGCCAGGCCCTTCAGTGTATCTGCTGTGCACAAGTACGGAGTCACGTGTGTATGTACAAATATGTATACATATATATATATATATACATTCATGTACGTGCACATGTTGCTCTATCCACTACCCGCGTGAGAGCTTTCGAACACGGAGAAATTTGGCCAACAGCGACGCAGGTAAGAAGGACCTCACTCCTGAAGGATCCTTTAAGAAACCCTCGGGGAACTTGTGAAGGCAAAGGAGCTACAGAAGCCTGGAGCCCTCCTTCAAATGGTGCAGAAAGGACCACCATTTCTGCTGGAGTTGAGAAGCAAGGCGCAGGCGCCTGCCGGCAAATAGATGCGAGATTTGTCCCTTAGTTGGTGATGTGGTTTGGCGTTTTGGGGATTTGAACCCCTGGCTTTTGTAAAGGGTCAATAACCACCAATCCAAACCACCGATTGGAGCAGCGCTGCGGGGAATGACCACTTCGGCAATACGACAGAAAGGGCCTAACACGCCATATGGCTGTGGGTGAAACTTAAAACATTCGGCGACCGCAGGTTTTAGGCTTTGGTTCCGTTTGCCCTTCCATTTTGTGGTTACCCTACTTTTTGACCAACTGCCATATGAAGGGGTAACACGTAACACCCCATATGAAGGGGGAAGGCACCAGGGGTAGATCCCAGGAGTTCTTGGATGAACCCCACATGCCCAACATCTCCCCGAATCGCCTGCTCGACTCGCCGCCGCTCCTGGAGCACCTCCAAGAAAACGCGAAAGAGCAACGCGCAGTCAGGCCACGGGTTTGGAGCTTGGAGAGAAGGTCGACCAAATGCAGAAACCCGCAGGCGTCCTTTTTGGTTGGAAGATAGATGGCCCTGGCAGTTGATTGAACCACCAGGTAAACCAGGGCCTTCTATTTTCCAACCCAATCAACCAAAAAGGACACCTATGCACAATTTTCCTGGTTGCTGTTGTTCAAAACCCAGTCATAAACATTGCCCCTTCCGAACCTCGATTCATGACACGGCAAACCAAACACGCATGTTCTAGACGGATTCTGTAAACGCCAAAGTCGCCAAACCCATCGACGTGACAGAGAGTCTCAGCTTTCATGAGCCTTCACATATTATCAGCTTTCTCACATCTCCAGGCGACATTTCAACCAAAAAAAGAAAGAGACAGAGGGGACCTAATCCGAATGAGAAAACGCCAGCCGTCTGTTTGACTGGCCGATAATGAACCAACTGCTATCAAGAAACAGAGGGCCACCAACCAAGCAACAGCCAATGAAAGGAGCTGAGACAAAGACGCCAATGAATTCACATCTGGGGTTCAACATAGTAGAGCACCCTTTCGGTTTCAACGGTATATCCCTTCACCGCGACTATGGTTCGACCATTCCACGTGGTTTTTTCCAAACGCAAGCAGAGTGCGTAGGTCGCGGCCCTGAAAAATTGTGCGAAACACGATATCATTCTAAAATGCCCCATGGTTTGCGCTTGGTTGAACCCCAAACCCCGGATCGATCAGCCTGGATTCTCTTGTTCGGGGGGCTGTTTGTGGCAAGTGAAGGCTTTCCTTTTGATGTCCTGGTTGCATCATTCTGGAGGTCAGCCCCAAGTGGCAAACTTGAAAAGCAACCGGCGCAAATGCTTGTCAGATTGGCTGTACTGAAGAAACATACACAGGCAAGCGCCAGGATGTGGGTCATCCGGCTGAACCGTTGGGACTATGAGCAACAGGGAAGACCCGGACGAACCCGAAAATGTCTCTCACTACCGGAAAAAGGCGTGGTTCAGTCAACCTCCTCCCCCCGCCTGGAGCTTCCGTTGATGCTCCCCCGCCAGGCTCTCGAGGCTCCTCGCAAGAGACGGACGAACGCAGCTTGGAGGGGACCCTCATATTGATTGGAAAAATAGAGCGAGAGAGGTGTACCTATACATATATATATATACACATACATATATGTATATAGATGTTTGTAGGTATACAGGGTAGATATATTGGCAGGGCTACCAGGGTCCACTTGAAACTCTTTCGATCAAATCGCTTGAGCAGCTCATAACTTGAGTACATTTTGAAGAATTGCTCTTCTATGTGCTTTTTGGCCTCCTTTTAGCTACGGTATTATGAGGAGCAAGTTGGTACAATTCTGATGTTGTCAGACCATTTCAGCATTTCATGCTCATCTGCAAGATTGTCGTGCCTAGGCGCCCAAACACAAGTGGGTGCAACTTCCCAAATTGGAGCCCCGCACCCAATGCCAACAACCCTCAGCCGGTGGAACTCTGGGGGTTCCCTGTACAAGTCACAGTTTCCCGTTTTTGGAGAGGTGTTTCAAAGCTGGTAGGCAACCACATTTCCGTCATCCATTGGTCGACCCAAGATTCATCCACGTCACACTTGTTGTGGTAATGTAAAAGAGCGCCAAGATACACATAATATCAATGGCCGTGACAAAGATGCTTTGTGTCTTATGTTCAACCAATGTTTCATTTCCAAGCAAATGGTTGGACATGTCTTCGTCGGACCACACCGTCGCAAGAGAGGTTTTGCAGACGTGTCAAAATTGAGCACACGTCCAAACAGCTGCTGTCCTGCTACACAAGACATTTGTGACTGATGGCCAACCGTAGTGCTGTGGGGGTGTGGCTTGCATTTCTTGCCACATCCTTGGGCCATTGCGTGGTGCTTTTCCTGATCCTAGACACGAAAACAATTCTCCCGTCCCACGAGAATCTCCCCTCATTTTCCCATGGGCTCAAATCTCATTCCACGCCCTCCCATTGCCACATTCCGTATTCGATCAATGAGCACTGATTGCCAGCAACCGTCTCAGCTGCAATTCGCCCTCCCCCAAAGGCGCCTGGAAAGGTAGAGGAGACCCATGGCGCCCGCACCGAAGAAGAGGCCTCAGGTCGGAAAAGTTGCAAGTAGACCTACCTGAAGCGGCACTATTTATGGCTACCGCATCTGCTCTCCAAATTTCTGGCCATCCAAATCGCCTTCCATGCGGATTCTGAAAGTCATAAACGATTCTTTTCACAGACATACTCATTGTTCAATCTACATCAAAATCAGAGCCTGCCAATGGTTGGTCCCCTTTCCTTTCGGCTTTCCTTCAAATTGACGCCTGCGCTTAGGCGGGCGGTGACCAACCTCTCGTCATGGTCCAACCTCTTGCTCCAAGCTCGTCCCGAGCCATTGCCTGACGAGCGTCTCACATATAGAACCTTCACCAGGCTGCCATAGGGCCCTTCCTGAGATCGCTCGCCACGAGCCCCGCAACCCGAGCTAGTCCAACCTGAGACCCAAGCCATGTCGGGCAAATGTAAGAAGGCAAAGCAAATCTGAAATGGGCTTGTCTCAAAATAGGGCAACCCCAAAATGGCGGGTCCTTTTGGTTTCCCTTCAACTAACCCAAAACGGGTAATGTTAACTTCGGATAATTCCGGAGGACCGTACCAATCAGGGGTGGCTCCCCTTTAAGTACAGAAATTAGACGTTTTTGCAGCAGGCAGGGTTTTTCTCCCCACGTAAATCCGAAGAAGTCAACTCACGGCTTACCCTCAAAAAAGGACCCCGCCACAGTTGGCACCGCGCTGCGACTCGCCCGGAAATTCGCCGAGACGCCAGCAAGCGACTAAACACCTCCGAGGCTTTCAAGAGGCTCCGGAGCATGGGTGCGGCCCAGGCGAGTGGCGAAGCTGAAATCCAAACCGTTGGGGGCAAAAGTTTCCTTTGCACGCGTAGGTTTTTAAAAAAAAAAAAAAATGTTCGGAAACTTTTATGGGAATTTGATATGAGAGCAGTCGCTCATTATTGTTGCTTTGACAGCGTGATAGATGGGTGTTTTGGGTTCGTCATTCGAATATCCTGAGTGTTGTCTGTCTTGTGACACCCCCTGCATTTCAAGGGTGTTTCTTCACAGTTGCTCTGTGTAGGTACCTACATGTGGAGTCACAACTGCACATTCACACAGCCAGTTCTTGTGCTCCACAAGTACTCTAGCAGTTTACGGGTACCACTTCTGGACCTACCTACATGTGTACCTGTGGAAATCCTGCATGTAGATCCATACGTAGACCTTGAGAAGGAGACACGAAAGGTTGCAAGACGGACGCAGCCATTGAACATCGCCGCACAGGAGCTCGAATTGTCCAATTGACTCAAGTTTTTCATTCGGGACCCTTGGGTGGACATCACTTAAATGACACCCTGTTGAAACTAGGTTGTCACAAAATTCGTGTGTTTTAATTTGCTCGTTGCGCAAACCCAACCAAGGGTGGACCAGGAACAAGTCGAATCCGGGGGAATGATTGTTCGGAGTTGATTCCCCCCCCCCCCGAACCCGTTCTCCTAAGCTTGCTAGCACACGGAAGACTCAAGGTATCCTCCCCAAGGCTACCTTTCGTGATCATCCTGTGACGTGCATGCAGAACCATCGACGGGACACAAAAAGCAGATGGTTTTCGGGGGCAAGGATATGGGCCGAAGAAAAATATGCAAAACAACGTGCTCTCCTGATTGTTATTCTATTGAAGCACCGTGCACTTTTCTCCTCAAAAAGTGAAGGTCAGCCTTTTTGACGATTTTCCATTTTGTGCGCACAAGTTCCCCAACTCTTCAGGAGGAGATATAAGTCCCAACTCCTCAGGAACAAATATGTGCCTTGTAAGCCGCCGCAAAGGTGAGGGGGTCCGCAGCCTGCAGGAAGATCCGGTTGTGGTTCTTAGGGTCACCCCCAGCGAAGCTATGGCCCTGCAGATTGATCCCCCCATCCTCGTAGCGGAAGCTCAGCTCTTCGGGCATCTGCTTGGCCCCCTCCGGCGCGGAGTCCTTGGTGAGGGTCTCCGGCAGGGTCCCGGTGCCCAGCTGCCCAGGGGCCTCCATCACGAACTTCATGGGCCCATCCAGCGTGCCCATGTACAGCGCGCCCTCGACTTCCATGGCCCAGCGCAAGCCGCTGGTCAGCCCAAGCCGGATGAGAGGCGCGCCGGCTGCGCGCTTCTCGTTGCTGAAGTGCCAGCAAACGCTGTCCGGGGCGGCCTTGCGCAGGTCAAGCTCCGCTTGCACCTCCGCAGCGCTGGGCTTGGCCACCGGTGCTGCTTCGGCCATGGTGTCTCCCTTGGTTGACCTCTAAAGTGTGAGTTCTCGAATGCTTCCTTGCGGTTGCGCACGGTCCAACGGCATGGTATGCTCTTTCTCAACGAGCTCTGCGAGCTTGAGCAAGGCTCATCTGCGACGCATGGGAAGGGGTTCCTTGCAAGTGCCGCGGTGGTCGTCCCCTAAGAAAAACTGACACGGAACCTTTCGAATCCATCCCACCAGACGATGCCCATTCTGAGAAAACCCCCTGATCTAGATCCCCAATCTCCGTCCGGGTGAATCAACGGGTGTCGCCCCCACGTGGAAGCACGAGATTTCCCAGACGAGACCTCGGGCCTCCGCAAAACACAACAAACCGGGTGTCTTCCATTCCACCCATGACAAACCGAATTCATTGGAACCAATCCCAAAGCGCTCCCAACAGCGCCTGCCGCCCCTCCCGGAGCTCCCTTGCCGCACCCGGAGACGGGCTCGCCTCACCGAAGCGAGCAGTCGGGCTCGGCAAGGTTCGCTTTCCGGCAAAACGACAAAAGAAAAGCAAAACAAACGGAAAAAGCTTGCCTCATCTGTTTAGTGCTTGGATTCCTTGCGACTTGCCCCCCAAAAGATTGTGTTCACCCGAGCATACAAACAAATCAGACCACAGTGAGGCAGAGCCAAATAGCTCCATCCTGCCGCCAAATGGGAGCCCTGCCTCAAAGTGCACGCCCAACCTGGGCCGGCAGCAAGCACTGAAGAGCCAGCCCGATCGCATCATCAAGCGAGCTTTGGGCCACCAGAAAGTCGAGGGTACACCCACACGACAAGGGAGTCTTTGAGGAATCACCACAACAAAATACATGATGCCAGCATCAGCTTTCACATTCCTCAGGGTGTGAATACACCTGTCCAAGAATTTTGCCGCACATTTTCCACCAAACACCCACGGCTTCAATCCTCGCCCATCCCCAAAACCTCGCTCCCACTGCCAACTGCGCCAAAAATCCGCTGCTCAGCGCGGCGGTTCAGAAGTTCTTGCAAGTCTCGGCCCCCGGACTTCTCGCAGAGGAGCCGCTCCATCTCGAGGCGCCGCACCTCGCGGGTGGCCTCAATGGGGGGCGGCTGATCCGCCTCCGCCGAGCTGACCTGTAGATACCACGTCTCGGTTCTTCTCTTTGGATGAGTTTGGTTTCTTACCATTCGCACGCCACCCTGTCTTGGTTCTCCTTAAATGAGCTCGGCTTCCTACCATATGCAAGCACGCGCAGGAAAGCGAAGCGTTGCATGTGCAGATACTCTGCCTAAGGCGGTCTCCCTTTGCGCCAAGACACGGTAGAAACGGTTAAGTCCACTCCCTCAAAGCAACAAGGCTTACAAGAATATGGCAAGATTGTCATGTACAAACGGCGCCTTTTTGCTGCACTTCCGCGGTTTATTGGTGATAGGGTAGGCCGAAATGGAATGATGACTTTCTTGGACAGCACGGCAAAAGTCACCAAACGATGGTTTGTGTTGAATAACTTTCATCTTTTCTTGAACATGCCCTCCCTCAATCGGGGGGTTTTGGGAAGACGGTTTTCCTTTCGGGGAACCCCTCCGTCCACTTCCATTGTATTTTTTTGTTGGAGCAGGTTTCTTTTGTGTTGTTGACCCCATACGGTGACGACTTTTAAATATGTGGGGCCGGGCCAGGGCTTCAGGGCTGGGAGGTAGTGTAAGACATCCGCTTAAATCGGATATTTCAAGTGGTTGGCCGGGCCACCCTCACGGGAAGCTCATCACCTGGCCCGCCCTGAAAATCGCTCAAAAGAATTGGCCACCAGTGGACGATGTCGCCTGGAGCCGCCGTCACGGCTGATGGTGGTTTGCAAAGGTGATGGTAACATGCTGGTCATGAGTGTTGGTATTGTGATCGTAATATGCTGCCAATAGCTGTCGTGGTATTGGTGGTTGTTGGTGGTAAATACAGGGAAGGTCTGGCGATGGCGATGGTACGGCGAGGGAGACGGAAGCTGGAAATGAAGACGGCGATGGCAGTAAGGAAGGCGCTGAAAAGGACGCTGGCAGTGAGAATGGTGATGGTCATCATCATGATGTGATGACAAGCATGGCGATGGTGTTGGCAACCGCAGTGGTCACAATGAGCAAGGGGAAGTCTGTATGGTGATGCCGAGTGGTGATGAACCATCACCATGCTCCCCACTAAAAAAAGAAGAAGGAGGAAAAAAAAGCGCATGTGGTTTTGAGGGTACCCTTTTCAAGGTGGTTTCAAGGGAAACCCAAAGGAACACCATGCTGGGGCCCTTTGAACCCATGGCACCAAAACCAAACATCAACGCCGAGCAGCTGCAGCCAGCTCCGCAGCGCATGGCACCTGGGGCCATCGACCAGGCAAAGTCCAACTGAGGCTGGGTGCTCAAAACGCATTCGGAACGCCGATGGCATCAAACCGTCTGAGAAAGGAAATGGGTGGGTCGCTTTTGGAGGGTACCCATTTTTGGGATAAGAGAAAGCCGCAATCTTGAGCCGTGTTCTCAAAGGTTGCTCGTCTTTCCTCAAATCCGCAAGCAGCAAGTTGAGAGGCTCTGAAGGAATGACTTGCGCGGTCTGACAAGGCTCCTTGGCTCCAAAAACACGCCGACAGGACAACAGCCACGCAGGGTCTCCAGTTTTGAGCAGCTTGTCACGTCACTCCCGCCTCCTTTTGCCGCTCAAGGCCTGAGCCATTCGCATTGCAGCAGACCGTCTGAGAAAAGAAATGGGTGCGTCATCTTTTGGAAGGTACTCTTTTTTGGGATTGGTTCGAAGCAAAACCAAAAATAGGCCACTATCCTATTTTTGGGGAGGGTCCCCTGTCACATTTTCTTTGGGGCTGTCCCCTATTTTAAGACGCACCCCAATGGTAGTGGCCAGAATGACTTGCAGCAGGTAACCAAGTGCCTTGTAAAGATCCGGAAGGACCAAATCTGAACCCTCGGGACACGCGCGGCCACAAGAGTGATAACTAGCCAGGGTTCCTGGGTACAAGTCCCCTTTGCAACCATGGTTCGCCACTCGCTATGAATGCGAGGCAAAGGGCCCCTCCGGTTCTCATCACATGCCTTTCGCCAGCCACCAGTACATTGCATTGCATAAGGCACCAGGCTTGTGGTGACTTCATCACATTTACGGTCAGCTGCAAAGAACCGTGTAATCCTCGAACTTCTGATCTCCGGTGACACCACCTTTTGCCAACCTTCAAAGGCTGAACAACTTGTGTGGCCACGGAAGGCATCACTTGGATGGCTCCAAAACCCCCAAAAAGACGCCCAACCAATCCCCCCCCCCCCCGCCTTCCTGCCGGGGTGTCAGCACCGTCACCGGCACCTCGGAACCACTTGGCCACGCCAAGAACTGCGGTTGCCCCTGCCAAGAACTGAAAAAGCCCCGCCGGAGTGAGGCGCACATTGTCCCTGAACATCTGAGTCATCATCAAAATCCGGTATTAAAATGGTCGTAGTCCCAGAACCATGCAGAGAATGGAAAAGGCGGCCGTACCCATTTTGGGCTGGGATTGTCCCTTACTACCCTCCAATTACCCTGAGCCGAAAGGGGGCGAGGGACCTGAGGGACACATCGAAATGGGCCTCCCTTCACTGCCTCGAGCTTCTGATCAAGGAGCTCTTCAACCCAAGCTTCATGGTGCCTTGAAATGGCAATACAGAAAGATCAGGCCAACGTACTCGAAAATGTGAGCACGCGAACGTTCGGAATTCGTCGACTCACAGCCCCAGATTGGAGAACGGGCGCCCCTGCGCGGCGCCGGACAGGCAAGCGGCAGCCTCAAGAGATGGGGCCACACCAACCCGTCGCAGACTTTTCTTCGAAATGCAAAGTCAGTTTATCCGTATATCTGCATGCAAACGGCATTGAGGTACACCATGGCACTCTTTCCCTCTCTCCATCTCTTTCTTTCTCTCTCTCTCTCTCTCTCTCTCTCTCTCTCTCTCTGTCTTTCTGTCTGTCTGTCTCTGTCTCTGTCTCTGTCTCTGTCTCTGTCTCTGTCTCTGTCTCTGTCTCTGTCTCTGTCTCTGTCTCTGTCTCTGTCTCTGTCTCTGTCTCTGTGACTGTCTGTCTGTCTGTCTGTCTGTCTGTCTGTCTGTCTGTCTGTCTGTCTCTGTCTCTGTCTCTGTCTCTGTCTCTGTCTCTCTCTGTCTCTGTCTCCATCTCTTTCTTTCTCTCTCTCTCTCTCTCTCTCGCTCTCTCTCTCTCTCTCTGTCTGTCTGTCTGTCTGTCTGTCTCTGTCTGTCTGTCTGTCTGTCTGTCTGTCTGTCTGTCTGTCTCTGTCTGTCTCTGTCTGTCTCTGTCTGTCTCTGTCTCTGTCTGTCTGTCTGTCTCTGTCTGTCTGTCTGTCTGTCTGTCTGTCTGTCTGTCTCTCTGTCTGTCTGTCTGTCTCTGTCTGTCTCTGTCTGTCTGTCTGTCTGTCTGTCTGTCTGTCTGTCTGTCTGTCTGTCTGTCTGTCTGTCTATCTCTCTCTCTCTCTCTGTCTCTCTCTCTCTTTCATGTCTATGTGTCTTTTTGTCTTAGGTTATGTGCATGTAAGTTCAATCAATCGGTCTTCTCTGTATTGTTGATTCCTCTATTGGCGTTACTTTCCCTTTACTTTGCTTCTTCCTATCTTTATGCTCTTTTCTGTCATGTTGTCTTATGTTTGATTATGTATGTATTCATGTTTGGTCAGTTCTATTATGTTATGTTCTCTTGTCTTTCTCTTTTCTCCTTTCCTCTGAGCCCCGAGCTCCGGGGCGAGGCGAAGGTCCTCACTCGCTTCACATGACTTCTCCCAGCGAAGGACCCTGGCAGGTCGTTGGATTCCTTTTGGTGCTCCTTTCCAATATCCAAGTCTCTAAGGAGAAAGGGAAATACCATCCGCTTGGCTGCGAATCCTGCGTGGATCATGTCTGACAGCTCCATGGTGCAAAAAGACCTGAACATAGCAGGCTACCTTTCCAAGGCCACCAGAACTCCCCAAAAAGTTGGCTGAAAGGTCG